AACAAGAAACTAATAAGTAATTAATAGAAATATGTAAATGATAATAATAATAATAATAATAAATAATAATAATAATAAATGATATATATAAATAATAATAATAATAACAATAATAATAATAATAATAATAATAATAAATGATAATAATAAGAATAAATAAAATGATAAGAAGAAATAAGAAATTTATTTAACAATTTGTCATCTATGCAAGTTTATGATTTAAATTATATTATGTGTAAAAAAAACTATTAGCAGAAAGTTGTCATGAATGGTACACTATTGACATATCCAAGACAGTTATCTATAATGGCAGAGTAATAAAAATTAATTAAAAAAGTCATAATTTATATTCTTTGTTAATTTTATGTTTATATAACGACATATGCATTATATAACCAGAGTGTGTTTTATTTATTTACTTAAATTTACACTCTATTACAGTTGAACAATTCAACATAAACAATTGTTCTTTAGATCTTCATCGACTGGCTTCTCTCTCTCGATAAGCATTATATGCACATGACAAAACAAAGTAGAACAATAAAGTATTTAAAAATGACTATTGTATACTTTAGCTCCTATATTATCAAAGCTCACATTAACTAGTCTATTTTTTGATTTTTCAACTAAAACTTTAAATTTAAGTTCTGTTCTACTGTACAAGCCATCTTTATTTTATTTTAATAATGCAGCAAAATATTAAAAAACAACAACGACAAAACGAAAATATCAACCTACTTTGGAGTTATGTTAAACCCTACAATCCAGTTTATATATGTTTTTACTTTACCTGATGTTATTATACCAATCCCTAACAAAAAAAAATACAATAAATACTTTACATAAGATTTGATAAAGATTAAATGATCTTTATACTGCTCTTATAAATATATGTAATAATCATTTATATATCATAGGTTATAACACCTGTAGTTTCATCACATTTTAGTTTAAACTTATACCAACTAACTGTTGTGTTATATTTTAATTTTTTACTGCAAATTTCATATTTCGATTCGGACAATGGATAAAACCATTCTTTATTCAACTTGATGGAATTTCATTCACACAAACAACATTGTTTTTTTGACTATGAAATGTTGAATTAACGTTGAAATTTCAACGTTTTTTTTTTAACGTTGAACTAAGGTTGAAATAACGTTGAAATTTAGATCGTTATTTTTCAACCATATATCAACCGTTTCGCAACGTTGAAATAACGTTGAAAAAACGTTTTGCGCTTGCTCAGTTGTAAAAAATTTTCAACTAGTTCAATGTAAATAAACTTTCAGTAATTGACAAAACTAACTGAAGTCTATTTCTCCCACTTTCCAAAAAAAAATATAATAGCATACGAAACACCCTCTATATTCATTGATAATATTCAAGTAAAAAAAGTAAAAACTACACAATTTTAGAGAATACATATTGATGAAAACCTTACATGCAGACAGCATATTAAAAATTTAAGCAACAAAATTTCAAAAAGTCTTGGGATATTACACAAATCAAAAAGTTATTGAAACATGCGTACTTTAAAGCAACTGTATGATTCACTTATTCACTACCATATCAATTATGCAAATATTGCGTTGGGTGGTACTAACAAAAGTAAACTAGAGCCTATTCATCGTCATCAGAAACATAAAGCACGTTTAGTTAATTCATGTGTTCAACGAACTCATTTAAAGCCTCTCTTAAGAAAAATAAATGTTTTAAACTTATATCAGCTTAACGTATATAATATTTTTTGTTTTATGGACAAACGTATAACGAAATTATCTCCGTCTTCTTTTAATAGTTTATTAAAAAAAATAAAAAAAAATACGATCTACGAAGTTATGATTTTTTGGTATTTTATATTATTTTGCATATTTCATGGACCGTTTCTTTGGAACAAAATTGTTTTGAATAAATTTGATTTTTTTTTTTGGATGGAATTACATATTTACACAATTTACAAATGTACTTTTAAAGCCTTTTTATCCATTTAGAGGAAGTGTTAGCATAACCGCCCCCGTAACGTTTGGATTAATGTTATATGAAAATAAAAACAAAATGTGCTTTTTTAACAGTTTGTTTCAATAAACACATCATTAAGCTTTAAATTGATGCAATTAAGAAAAAAATTAAACGGTTTTTGAAGATGCTATTACACAAAAATTATACTTAGTAAAAAAAATGGTTTTGCCCCTATCGTGAGGCACAACCGCACCCTCGCAAAAATTGTTGGGGTACACTTTTCATGGTATATTTTTTTTACAATTGTCACAGGTCAGATTATTTGCTGATTTTGTTGCACGTTTACATACTTTGTAGGCATTCTTTGTACTTACAGTCTGAGTTTTCTCATTCGATATACTCTTAGCTTTATATTTATTCAAAAACTCATTTAGAAAAATTGAATAAAAAAAATAGAATCTAATTTCCAACATCTCGAAACAAAACTATTTCTATTCTTTAGTGACGATTGTAATTATTGCTATTCGTAATTACCTAACTTTGATAAATATTAAGAGTATGCGGTTGTGTCTCCTGCGCGTCTATGCAGTTCTGCCCCAGAGGACAGTTTTAAGAAAGAATACAGTTACATAGCTTGCTTATTAGGTTATGTTTATATCCAAAATGGTTTTCACTTGATGAAATAATGGTGATAACTTATATCTTTAACACTAAATCAAATATTGCGTAATCTTCAAAAAAAAAGTCTGTAAAAATATGATGTAAATATAATTTTTATATTTACATATAAAATAAACATTATTATGCACAACTTCTCAGAAACGTAATAGGCAATCTTTTTGACATAAGCGAAATGAAGTAAACTGTTTTACTAATGCGTGGTATGTTTTTGCCATATTTGATAACATATTTGAAAAGGGAATGTTAAAAAACGATTGTACCTCTATATGCGGTTATGCCCCCACTTCCCCTATATGATTTGTAATGTATGATTTTAAATGATCGGTTTGTATGATTTTTATTTCCATTATTTACGATCTGCAAGCCTATATTGCTATTATATTATCTTTCTATTTTATCTTGAGGAATATTTTTTGTAAATATATATATATTTTTTTGTAAACTTTTTATTTTTTATTTAAATCTTGTTATTCTTTTATAATTGCAAAACATTAACTTTTACTACGTAAAATATTTTACATGTAGGGGAGATCTCCTCTACATGTAAAATATTTACATCAAGGGGAGATTACAAGCGCTATGTTTAAGTACGCATGCGTTAGAAAGTAACTACAAATTTTGAACTTTTAAAATGGCTATGGTTCTTACAGGGTTATTCATTCTTATATGCGCGTCTATTCATTTTTATATGCGCCTTTATTCATTCTTATATGCGCATTTATTCATTTTTATATGCGCCTTTATTCATTTTTATATGCGCATTTATTCATTTTTATATGCGCATTTATTCATTTTTATATGCGCCTTTATTCATTCTTATATGCGTTTTACAAAAGCAATTGTAAAAAAGCAATTTGAACAAAAAAAAAAATCATTTAAGCAATTTACTTACAAATACTCCTATACGCATACAATACTCCTATACGCATACAATACGCTTACAATACTCCTATACGCATAATTTGGTGCGAACGGACGTGTTTTTTATTAAGAAATTTACTTCAGCAAAAAAAAAAAAAAAAAAAAAAAAAAGATTTTTAATCTCGATGTATTTAAACTTTATGCTATATGGCGCCAAGAGAAATTGGTGAGTTGTTTTTAACAATACAGTCAAGTAACAATATTTTAGAGAACTATATTATAAATGTAGAGGAAATCTGCTCACATCCAAGGGATGTAATCATCTATGGGTTTTCTCAATTTAAGGAGGCGGAAGTTTTCAAATTAAGAGTGGAATTATTTCAAGAAATATTGGAACGTTTTGACATAGAGCAGTTCTCACTGCTAAACATTATTCTAGACGCGGAAGATCCCGTTAAAAAAAATCTGAGAAAACGGTATAAGATATTAACATGTCTTGATGATATTTATCTGATGTCGATTTCTTTAGCGGAAAATCAACTTCATAAAGACTTTATTAAATTGATTTCTAACTCCAAACAAGCTAGTCAACAAATGTATCAACCGCCAGATATAAATATGGCATTGATTTTAAAAGAAGTTATTGATCGGTTAAAAGCATTACAATTAGAAAATAAAAAAATTATGGCAGATTTGCATTTATTACAGGTAAAATACGACGAACTACAAAAAACAAATAACGAAATCGTGAAAAATCAATGTGCGTCACAATTTAACAACACAAGTAATTGTGAACCTCATAAATCGCAAGAAAATATAAAATCTATTGTTTCAAATTCAATAAAATATCATTCCCCAAATCAAAGAAATACGCTGGAAGAAGTTAATGCACACTCCAGCACAGAGATTTCAAGTTTATATACCGATAGAAAAAATAAAATTAGAGATTCCTACGCTACCGTGGTTAAAATGCAAAACCCGGAACAAAATAACCGGAAACCAGAAAAAGAAAAAGACTGTGTAACAGACTATCAAGAATTCAAAGTGGTAGGAAAAAATAATAAAGTTAATAAGAGCCATATGGATAAGCAAAAAAAAGAACCCGTTTTCGGAAACAAAGTCGCTAGCAACAGAAGCTCGATTGCGGGCAAACGTATTATTCGAGAATCATATATATTTGTAGGCGGAGTTTGTAATTCCATATCCGAAGAAGATCTATCAAACTACATGAATAAAGAAATAGGTATTACTCCTTTAGACATAAAGCTTAATAGAGAAAACATGTACAACCGCTCTTTCAAAGTAAAAATTAATAGTACTGAAAAAGGAATGGTACTTAAACCCGATGTTTGGGATAACAACATTATTGTTAAACCGTTTAGAATGCGGCGAGAAGCACTAACAATCGAAAAACCACATCAAAATACCGAAAATCATTTGCCACAATTCTTACACCACTCTTCAGCATTTATGCAACAATAAAAATTGAAATCATAATGGGAGAAAAAGAATTAAATGTAACTAACACAAATATTACGCTATGTGCATATAACTGTCAAAGCTTTAAATCGAATTCATATTATATTTCTAAGTTGTTAAAGTCTTTCGATATTATTTTTATATCAGAACATTGGCTTTTAAATATTGAGAGTTTTTTGTTAAATAACATTGCATTACTAACACACAAAGTTTTTTTTCATGCGGCAGAAAAAAATACACACGGTAGACCATATGGAGGAAATGCTTTTATGGTACGAAAAAAATTGTCATCTTTTTACATAATACATGAAGATGAAAACATTCTTGCTATTAAAGGCACACTTAACAATCGTAACTTAATTTTTATTGGTGTTTACCTTTCATCTTGTCGTAATAATAACGAATCATACGCAAAATACTCTTCTCAGTTACAAACAATCACTTCAATAATGAACAACTATGAGGATGAAGGAGAATGTATTATTTCCGGAGACTTTCAGTCATTTCCATATAAAATATATGATTCAGAGCTTCGTAAAAACAAAACTAGGAACAATTTCTCAAAACATCTCACTAATTTTATTGAATCAAATCAGCTCGCTTTTGTCGATATAATCAACGGTGCTGGGCCTACTTATACCTATCAACATAAAACTCTTTCTAACTCTTCTTACATTGACCATATTGCATCCTATAAACAGACAGAACTATGTTTTACAAACTGTCAAGTTATGCAATCTTCACCGCTTAACCTTAGTGATCACCTTCCGGTGTCTACGAATATTAACTTTGAAGGTACCGGCTTATCACACGAAATAAATAATATAATGCAAAAATATAATTCAATACCAAAACATGCATGGAATAACGAAAGGTTTATTGACTTTTATAATCTCAATCTATCAAAAGCATTTACTAGTTACGCATTTAAGGAAGATAAAATAGAAGAAGAAATTCAAAAAACATGCTTATATATAAAAAATGCAGCTCTCTTGGCAGTTAAACAATGTTTCGGACAAAAAGAATTTTATAAGTACTCGAAACCTTGGTGGACACCTGAGCTTAAAAAAATTAAAGATAATCTCTCCTTTCACTTTAGACAATGGCAAAAATCAGGCTATAATAAGTCAACAGAATGTATATCCTACAAAAGATTTATTTATTCCCGAAAAAACTTTCGTAAAGCTGTAAAAGCGGCACATAACAAAAAAATTCACGAAAAAACTAAAAATATAGAACACTTACGCAATACAAATCCTCAAAGGTTTTGGGGTAATATTCGAAAAATCAAAAAAAATACTAACAATCGACTCTTTACAATTAATAAATTGCAGAACAAAAACGAAATCGTCGAAGAATTTAGTCATCATTTCCAAAAACTACTTAATACACCGCAATATACAAATAACGAGTTCAATCCTCTCCAAATTCCACATTTAAGTAAAGAGCCTAATTCAAAAGTTATCTCGACAGCTGATATTGAAAAATGTATTTTAAAGCTTAAAAATAATAAATCTTACGATTGCTATGAAATCAGTGCTGAACATCTTAAAAACTCTCACAACAAGAATCTTCTTATTTTACTTTCGTCGTTTTATAACAATATGTTAACAAATGGAAAGGTTCCACACGGTTTATCAACCGCCAAAATTATCCCATTAGTCAAGTCTTATAAAACATCACTAGAAAATCCAAATAACTATCGAGGAATCAGCATTATACCAATTTTTACAAAACTTCTCGAATATCTTATCATACACATATGTCCAGATATAACAGAAAGTCATTCCCATCAATTCGGTTTTAAAGAAAACAGCTCTACCCTCCACGCAGAATTTCTTCTGAGTGAAACAATAAAGCACTATAATCATAATAACTCACCGCTATATATATGCAGTCTAGACGCCAACAAAGCTTTTGACAGTTGTAATTGGGAATTACTATTCGAGAAACTCTATTACCAGAAAAAAATCCCATTATCTATAGTTCATACAATATTATCACTATATCAAACAGGAACTTCTAATATATCATATCTTGGATGTACATCAAACAAATTTAGGCTGTCTCAGGGAGTGCGTCAAGGATCCATACTGTCGCCTCATCTCTACAATATCTACACAGAGAACCTTCTAGAGAAAATTGTTTCAGAATCAAAAGTTGGAACTTCAATAAATGGTGTATACACAGGTATCATTGCATATGCTGATGATATAGTTTTACAAAGTTCCACTATATCTGGTCTTCAGAGCCTTATTAACATTGTTCAAAAGTATGGACTATCGAACTTTATTAAACTGAATACAGAAAAAACTGAATTTCTAATATCTGGAATAAGTTCGATTTTAATTAACGTTATTTATATTAACGGTGATCCTATCAAGCCTCAAAACAATCTAAAACATCTTGGTTTCCTTTGGGATAATAAGAACAAAAAAATGACAGCAACACTCCAAAAACAAAATATAACTGAACGTGTAACGCAATTTTTATCTGTTGCAAAAGGTCTTATAAGAAATGGACTTCGCTTTTGCCAGCCTGCTACCATAGTTCATTTATTTAATTCTTTAGCTGTTCCAACGTTGTTATACGGATTAGAACTGTGTGGAAGCAGCAATAAGTTTCTAAATAGCATTGATATAGCTGGACGATCTGTCTTAAAATCCTTCTTTAATATTTCAAAGCAAAGTAGAAATTATCTACATTCTTATTTCAAAGTAGACGCTGTGTCAGACATTCTTTTTCGCAACAAGTTAAATCTATTTATCAGGCTTTTAAACAACCCCATATGTTACTCGATTATACGGACTCAGATGCCTTTAATGAATCAACGATCATTTGTGGGTGAGGTAATGATAATGTGTAAGAAAGCTGATATAAACATGCTCCAATTTATGATCGAGGGTAAGAAAATTATAATTGCACGCCCTCAGGAAGCATTGGAGGCCAATGTTGCGGCGATCTTAAAACAATCGTTCCAACACTGGAATTTAAAGGAACAAAGAGAAGTATTTAGAACGCTGATGGAGGAAAACATTCCAAGAACGATGCAAGAAAATACTTAAATGTGCTTTGTTTTTTTTTTTTAATACTTTTACCTATAGTTTATGTAATTATTGGGTGTTTAAAAGAATAAATATAAATATAATTTGTTTTGAAAAAATAGTTTATTTTTTCAAAACAAACTTTTCTTATTTCCAGGTAAACGAGGTTAAAAATACTTAAAACGAAGACTTTTTAAATTTGACGATGGTTTATTTAATTTAGTATTAGTTCTTTGTAATTTTACTATTAAATTTCTTGATTGATTAAGTTACAGGGTTATGTTCTTATATGCGCGTCTATTCATTTTTATATGCGCCTTTATTCATTCTTATATGCGCATTCATTCATTTTTATATGCGCCTTTATTCATTCTTATATGCGCATTTATTCATTTTTATATGCGCCTTTATTCATTTTTATATGCGCATTTATTCATTTTTATATGCGCCTTTATTCATTCTTATATGCGCATTTATTCATTTTTATATGCGCCTTTATTCATTCTTATATGCGCATTTATTCCTTTTTATATGCGCCTTTATTCATTTTTAAGCATTTTTACTTCTCTTAATTTATCGAAGCGCACAGTTCAAAATCTTGTCGTTAAGTTAAACAGAGGAGAATTCGACGACATGACTGCATTCAAGTTGTCATCTGATAAAAAACGAGGTGAAAGACCTATAAACGCTCCAATAAAAAATATTATCGAATTATGCGTACAACAAAACAATCTTTGCACGCAAGAAACAATAAAAGAAAATCTTTCTGCAGCAGGCTTCAACATGTCTATTTCAAGAAAACTCAAACGCTCGGATTTATCAAGAAAACTTGTTGTGCATGTGTCAGAAGAACGAAATTCAACACATTATTAATGCACGCTATGCATTTGCAAGCGAAATTAACGGAATTTCAGATGAAAAACTTATTTATTTGGATGAAACTGGATTTAATGTGCACACTAACAGCACATATGGTTATTCGCTAAGAGGTGCGCCAGCAATTTTACAGTCGCCTGCAAATCGTGGCAAGAATGTTAGTTTAATTTGTGCTGTTTCAACAATGGGAGTGCTTGCTTATGAAACAAAAACTGGAGGCTGGAATGCAGATTCATTTTGTACTTTCATAACTACAATGATGGCACCAGCGATTAGGAATGCAAATGTGGAAGTGCCGGTGCTTGTTATGGACATTGAATTGTAAATTCCACTGGAGTCTTTCTGTTAGGCAAACACTAGCCGCTCATGGTATAGCTATTAAGTATCTGCCAGCTTACACGCCACAGCTTAATCCAATAGAAGAATTTTTTTCTTCTTTAAAACATACTTACAAACAGGGAGAAAGGCCTCGAAATACGGATGAGGTAATCAGGAAACTTAAAAATATTATGGATACTACAGAGTTTAATATAGTTCCATTTTACAACCATATGCGTAGTTATATAAATCAAGCGCTGGCTCGGCAACCATTTCTTAAATAAATAACAATGAAAACAACCTAATTTATATTTTAAGTATGTCTATATAAAAATTTAAAAGCGTATTTATCGTTTATATTAAATTATATTAGAGATTTATGGGTGGTTGACGCATATACAAACATAGGGATGTATAATTTGATATTAATAATAATTATAAATAAGTAAATTTAAGTCGAAATAAATGAATAATTAGATAAATAATAACTTAATCAATCAAGAAATTTAATAATAAAATTACAAAGAACTAATACAAAATTAAATAAACCATCGTCGAATTTAAAAAGTCTTCGTTTTAAGTATTTTTAACCTCGTTTACCTGGAAATAAGAAAAGTTTGTTTTGAAAAAATAAACTGTATTTTCAAAACAAATTGCTTAAATGATTTTTTTTTGTTCAAATTGCTTTTTTTACAATTGCTTTTGTAAAACGCATATAAGAATGAATAAAGGCGCATATAAAAATGAATAAATGCGCATATAAAAATGTATAAAAGCGCATATTAAAATGAATAAATGCGCATATAAGAATGAATAAAGGCGCATATAAAAATGAATAGACGCGCATATAAGAATGAATAACCCTGTATTATTTATCTAATTTTTCATTTATCTCGATTTAAATTTACTTATTTATAATTATTATTAATATCAAATTATACATCCCTATGTTTGTATATGCGTCAACCACCCATAAAATCTCTAATATAATTTAATATAAACGATAAATACGCTTTTAAATTTTTATATAGACATATTTAAAATATAAATTAGGTTGTTTTCATTGTTATTTATTTAAGAAACGGTTGCCGAGCCAGCGCTTGATTTATATAACAACGCATATGGTTGTAAAATGGAACTATATTAAACTCTGTAGTATCCATAATATTTTTAAGTTTCCTGATTACCTCATCCGTATTTCGAGGCCTTTCTCCCTGTTTGTAAGTATGTTTTAAAGAAGAAAAAAATTCTTCTATTGGATTAAGCTGTGGCGTGTAAGCTGGCAGATACTTAATAGCTATACCATGAGCGGCTAGTGTTTGCCTAACAGAAAGACTCCAGTGGAATTTACAATTCAATGTCCATAACAAGCACCGGCACTTCCACATTTGCATTCCTAATCGCTGGTGCCATCATTGTAGTTATGAAAGTACAAAATGAATCTGCATTCCAGCCTCCAGTTTTTGTTTCATAAGCAAGCACTCCCATTGTTGAAACAGCACAAATTAAACTAACATTCTTGCCACGATTTACAGGCGACTGTAAAATTGCTGACGCACCTCTTAGCGAATAACCATATGTGCTGTTAGTGTGCACATTAAATCCAGTTTCATCCAAATAAATAAGTTTTCCATCTATAATTCCGTTAATTTCGCTTGCAAATGCATAGCGTGCATTAATAATTCGTGTTGAATTTCGTTCTTCTGGCACATGCACAACAAGTTTTCTTGATAAATCCGAGCGTTTGAGTTTTCTTGAAATAGACATGTTGAAGCCTGCTGCAGAAAGATTTTCTTTTATTGTTTCTTGCGTGCAAAGATTGTTTTGTTGTACGCATAATTCGATAATATTTTTTATTTGAGCGTTTATAGGTCTTTCACCTCGTTTTTTATCAGAAGACGACTTGAATGCAGTCATGTCGTCGAATTCTCCTCTGTTTAACTTAACGACAAGATTTTGAACTGTGCGCTTCGATAAATTAAGAGAAGTGGAAATGCTTGTTGTAGATTGATTTCTTTCAACTAAATGTTTAAGCATTTCAATGTGCTCTTTTGTAACATTTTTTCTTGTTTTACGATTATTTTCTATTCCATCCATAGGGTAAAAATTTGATATTAATAATTTTAAATAATTAAATAATAAATCTAGAAAAATAAATAATTAGATAAAAAATAACTTAATCAATCAAGAAATTTAATACAATAATACAATTTAATATAATGTAATAAAATTAAACTAAAAACTAATACTAAGTTAAATAAACCATCATCGAATGTAAAAATTCTTCGTCTTATAAGTATTTTTAAACTCGTTTACCAGGAAATAAGAAAAATTTGCTTTGAAATAATAAACTGTTTTATCAATGATTTTATTAAATGATTTTTTTTGGTTCAAATTGCTTTTTTACAATTGCTTTTGTAAACCACATAAAAATGAATAAATGCGCATATAAGAATGAATAAAGGCGCATATAAAAATGAATAAAGGCGCATATAAAAATGAATAAATGCGCATATAAGAATGAATAAAGGCGCATATAAAAATGAATAGACGCGCATATAAGAATGAATAACCCTGTAACTACAGTGCACATTTTGTATAACAACCGTACTTTTGTTCTTTATTTCTTGTAAATTGATGTTGTAGGCTTATTTTTTATATAGATCAGTATATAAATACTTAAATTTCATAAGAGAATAGATAAATAGAAGTTAAAACAATCTTAGCGTGATAAAACTTGAATTTTATTATTTCATTATTTATTGATATCCAAGATTTGTTTATTTATTTGAAATCAATTTTCTAAAAATCTAACCGTAGGAATTCATAAAAAAATGGTTTAAAATTAAATACATAAGTTCAATCTTGAAAGTATTTTTCTGGTAAATGCTTTAACTTTTTTTGATGCAAAATTATACTTTGACTCGAAGTAAATTTTTTATATATAAAAAAAAATGGGAGTTATAACACACTAATTTTTATGTTCTAATGTAATAAAATGTATGTGATTGTTATTATTACATGTATATAATATTAAATATAATGTATTATTATTATTATTATTATTATTATTATAATTACATACACTTTATTATATTAGGACATATAAAGTTAGTAGGCAGTTATAACTCAATTTTATATATATATAATTATGTGTGTGTGTGTATATATATATATATATATATATATATATATATATATATATATATATATATATATATAATATATATATATATATATATATATATATATATGTGTGTGTGTGTGTGTGTGTGTGTGTGTGTGTGTGTGTGTGTGTGTGTGTGTGTGTGTGTGTGTGTGTGTGTGTGTGTATATATATATGTGTATATTGTACTGTGAAAATGTAACTAAATAATAGATAAATAAATTAGTGTATATTAATCACATTAGGGCTCTGCAAATTGGTTCAATAGATATGATTCAAGTTTTTTAGATATGAAACATGTAGATGCTATTGAAGAGTTTTTATTTATCTTTCGGTAATCCTACAGTTACGCGGCCTAAAATAATTTTATTTTTCTGCTTGTCAGTAGAGGGTTTACAAACAATAGGAATATAATTGAAATAATAAAGTGAAAAAAGATTGCTGCCCCATGCCAAACTCTCATTCGATGTAGCAGCTCTTCCTTGTAGCAGCAGGCTATAAGATAGTCGATGTAGCAGCACTCCATTGCGAGTCAGGGTATAAGATAGTCGATGTAGCAAAACCCCCTGGCGCAACAAGCGCAAAAACATAATTATTTTAGGCCGCAATACTGTAGCTTTACCTTATCTTTCATCAAGTGGCCAGAATAAGATTTCCTTAA